ACGGTGACCACGAGAGGGCGCTGCGACCTAGCTGCGGAAAACTGAGCGGTTCGCCGCTAGGTGGCGCCTCATAACCTCTGCTGAGCTGTGGCAGCCAGCTTTAGCCTCTCTGCCTCCTTGCTCCTGCATCCTTGGCCATAGGACTCCGCCCTGCATCCCTTCCCGTGCGCTTCCTTCCAGGCTCTGGCTGTATCTGACTTGACAGCATCAAAGTCAAGTCTAGCTGAAAATACACCATCTGCCTGTGGGAGAAAAGAAAGAAAAAAAGTCTCTGGCGCTGTCACGTCGGTGCCCAATGCAGGTTCATAACCAGCCTCCAAGCAGATGGTCGCCTTTTATAATTACCGGGTCCCCGCCCGCCTCGGCTCGCTCCCCCTTGCCTCCTCCCCAGAGGGAGCAGGTGGGTGTCACCCCCACCCTGCCACCTGCTGCCTCCAGCTACACAGCCCCGCAGAGCGCCCCTTCCCCCAGGGAGGCCTGGACCCAGATTAAACAGAGAGATGGGTTGCTGGGGAGGATGCAACAAGACCTGCACGCCAAACCTTGGAGGGTGAATTAATGAAAGATTCTGACTGAACAACGCGTACTTTCAAATGCAGCCATTTCACTCTGGAGGAATCTGTCATAATCCACACCATCGAAATCCGAATTACGGAGACAGTAACATCAGCATATTCATTGCGGTGCTTTGATGATAAGAGCGTGCCCAAAACACACCTCATGTTATGATATAAAGGACGCTGTGTAACCACTGCCAGTGTTTCGGAGGAGTTTGAAATTACCTTTTAAAATGCAAAGCTGGGCTGGAGAGACGGCTCAGTGGTTAAGAGCACTGGCTGCTCTTCCAAAGGACCCCAGTTCAATTCCCAGCCTGTACGGTGGTGGTTCACAACTGTCTGTAACTCCAATTCCTGAAAATCTGATATGTGGACATCAGACATGCCTGAGATGCAGACACACACGTAGGCAAAACGCCCATTCACCCGCAAATAAATATATACATTTTTAAAAGGGAATATGAAAAAAACAAAAGATAAAAAGGAATATGAAGTTGGTGGTGCATGCCACTGAGGCAGAAGTATTACACTTTTCTGTATTTTTCTAAGTTTTCCGAAAAAATCATGGACAAATAAAAGGACATGAATGATTTCTAAGAGCTGTTTAAAAAAAAAAAAAGGTGGGTGTGGTGGCTCATGCCTGTGATCTTAGAATTTAGGTGGCTGAGGCAGGAGGAGCATGAGTTTGAGGACAGCCTCTAACTGCACAATGAGGCCCTGTCTCAAAAATAACCCCAAACTAAACTAAATCAAACCAACCACATCGAGGGAAACCCAGCAGAGCTGAGCACAGGGGGACTGGTAACAGTGGCTGCCTCTGAGTCAGTCCAGACAGCTGTCTTTTACAGTTTGTGTCCCCTGGCTCCTTTTAAGTGCTGTTCCAGGCAGCTATTAGCTACTTATACCAAAGTTTAACAAAAAAGATACAGGGCTACAAATACCTTTAAAACGGTAATGGAGAAGCAATCACCAGGGAAACCTGGGAAAGTGCTTTCGACTCCTCAAAGAAAGAGAAGGTGGGTGCTGGGCCAGGTGCCACTGGGTCACAGCAGGACTGGCTGCAAGGG